CCAGCTTTGCACTTGCTACAGCGATGGGGTGCAACACGGAGGGTGAGTGGAGGCGTGAGGCTGGAAGCCTCTGGGGAGAGCCCATGCCAGTTGAGTGTTTCAGATGCTCTACAGAACCCAGTCGCTTTACAATGCGCAGATAGTGGAGACATTGTGTTAGCACTGTAAATTCTGTTTCATCGCCAATATGTAGAATATTTCGCTAATCTGATATTTAATTCTGTACCTTCTTTTGTAAAAGCTGTGAATATCCTCTGAAAACTTCCACCCCCATCAAATACTTTACAGGCTTTTAAACATTTTTTTCCCCAACAAATTAAAACTGTGGACTAGTTACTATTTTTCAATCTTTTCTTTTCTTAAAACATTAAAAAATAACACCCGCTTTTATTTGGCTTAGAAGAAATGCTGGAAATAGTGAGAATCGCAAGACTGATTCACATAGTGCTAGTACTTTTCAGACTATTTTGGGAAGCACTCAGTTCATTAGAATTAGCAAGGTTATTTGAAACAATTTCACAAGTAAATAGACTTCTATCAAGAGCCACACAATACTGAGATCTTAAATATGTTCATTGATTTGAATTGTGAATTGTTAATCTTGAATAGCAGAGATTCGTTATTGGTGTATAAAAATATTATTTCAATGGAGAAGCACCCTGTGAAAGAATTTCCCTTCAATACAATAAGACTGTCACTATGTTTCTGAATTGTTTTCTCTAGACTAGCAGTTATTAATATACCGGCTAGTAAGTTTTTCTGTTTTAATTTAGTAAGGGTTTCCCTATTTTGGTTTAAAATTTTATTTTTGGTTTTATTTCCTTGGGATCAGAGAATAGAGCCTTAAATATATGTTAAAGTTTTTCTTTGCAGTTAAGTAAATGGTAAATTTTTTTGTCAATGTCCTTGGAAACTTGAATTGTATTCTTTTGAAATGTTCGAAGTTTATATCTATTTATTTTATTAATGAGGTGCAAAAAGATTGAGTTAAAACCTGTAAAATCCACCTTTATTTCAATAACAGTTTTTGTTTGATACTGTATAGTTATTCAGACCATGAAGACTCATTACCTTGAGTCTTTACTTTTAATTATGCATTTCCTCAATAGAAAATAATCTCCTTTATCCATTTTTTGCCCTGAATTATCAGCTTATTAATTATTCATATTTAATCGATTTTTTGTTAATATTTCACCACACATTTAATTTTCAAGCTGTTATGCACAAATGTCATTTTTCATTATTTTTGACCGTAGCCATCCTAATAGATGTGAACTGGCATCTCGCCATGGCCTTCTTCCCTGATGTAATTTTATAGGGCTTCTACCTTTTCACTTCATTTCCTGTATATTCATCCTTGAATAAACAATTTCTGACATGCATTAGATTTTTCTCCTTCGTTTACAGGTTGTGTCCCGTTTTGATCTTCATGTGCTTTCCCTGGGCAGGTGCGAGTGAGAGCTCTGGCCCTGTGTTCTGCTGTCCTTTGGCCAGCCATGTCATGGGCTGTGGCTGCATATCCAGGGTGTATTTTGGTCGTATTGTTATGACTTGCAAGTTAGTCTGCTATATATTAACGTTCTCTTTGTATCTTAGTGTGCCTTTCAATTTAAAAGATATCAAATCTGTTGAAGTAGTAAGTTATCTAGAAATTTATGATGGCAGAACATTTTCCCTTGAAACAACCTTATTCCTTAAACAAGAGAGAGCTCATACAGTTTGATATTGTCTTTTAATCCTTCGACTTTCCGTGTTTCATCTCTTTAGTAATTTTGGGGTCATTTTGAGGGCAGGGATCATTTCTCTTGTACTAATGTGTTTTTTACCATTATACACACCACTGTTTAAGCATACGGTAAGCCTAATAAATACCTGATGAGAGATTTATATGCACATGTTCAAAGTGGGAGCGATCAAGCACAGGAAACTGAGAGAAATGTACGGTTCATTAAGCTTTTGTATTTTATTTTTATTCATTATTAGAAGTCATTAAATAAAAATTGTTAGTTTTTAAAAATTTTGAGGTGTGCTTAATCTTTTGTACTTTTTAAATTATCTCAGCAGGTATTGGCTATTATAGAGAGGAAGAAAATTGTGTTTGGTTTGTTTTTGTTATTTAATGGTAATATTTTAACTTGCTCTCTGTGACATTTGCATACTAGCCCCTAAAATTGGTCGTTTTCCTGTTTGGTGGTTCAATACTTGCAGAAAGAGAAACTGCTCGTGATGTTGGGGTCCCTTGGAGAAACCATGAGCTACCATAAAAGCAGTGGGAGCCTGGACCAGCCCGCGGCAGTGCTGGTGCACCACAGGATGGCCTTTGTCAGCACTTCGCTGTTGGCCGTGCGGCTTCTGCAGACGCTCCTCCCCGTGGAAAAGGTGAGGCGGGGTGCTGCTTGCTTGTGGTCGCTTACTGAGCGTCACAGGTAAGCGATCTTCTGCAAAGCGATCTTGTCATCATCTCACGCTGTGCCAAGGTTATATTGGAAATGTAGAAATGGATAAACGGATAACATTTTTGACGTGAAATAGAGCATCACTAGCCTGTCAGAGGCAAATCGATATCTGTAATTTTGGGATAGTTCTTTTAAATATATAACTTGGAAGTTCATTAGAACAGTAAATAAGATCATCGAAGAGATTGTAATTAAGGTATTGGTTTATAAATAGTTGTAATTGCTTTAATTGATTAACTAAGAACTTTAAAATAAGATCTAAACAAAAACGCTATTCCATTCCTGTTAAATTTCTCCTTTAGTTTATATAAATACAAATTTATGCTGCCCTGTGCCTGTTGCTAGCCCACCAAAAATCGAAGTAGAATTTGGACTCTGAAATTTTCTGCTTGACAGTGTTTTTTAAATATTTGAGTTGCCACTTATCAAATATGTAATTTGGAAGTTGAATTTTTAATTCTTTTCATTTTTTAACTGATACACAGAATCCTATCACGCGGCTAGAATCATTAAAAAAAAAAAAATAGCCTAAACAAATCTAACAGTTCTTTCAGTTTAATCAATTGATTTAGGGTTGTAAAACATTTTATTTGGGCCTGTTGATTTTATACTAATTAAGAGTCAGTCTTCTTTTTAAGTATTGTGTTGAATTTCCCTTTTCCTCTCTAAAATACAAAGAAAACCAAATAAAAATGAATTTCCTTTCACATCGTTCTTCAGTTATACTTGATTTAGTGTTGTTCAGTTCAATATGTAGTTGCTGAGCCCTGGATTCAGCCACGGCGGGGAAGTGTCTTGGTCCTCAGGAGTTTATTGTGTTACTTTGGAGATTTGTGTGCACATGTACAAAATACTGAGAGAAAAATGCCTCATGCCTTAGTTCAGTAGCCGGGGTATAAACAACTCTGAGTAACTCTGAGTACGAATGTGGGGAATAAGGAAGAATCCTGTATCCCACCCAGCCTTTGAGAAAGGGTCGAAATTTGGCTTTGAGATATTCTGGGCATAGAAAAATTGCACTGAAATCGATGATGTGTTTGGGAATAGAATTTTCTTTGCAAAAGCATAGACTTCGTGACAGAATTACTAAAAAAGTCAAACTACGTTAAGGCTATATAGTCTACCATGTTTATTTAAAAAATGTTTTTTAAGAAAGTTAAAAAAGTTTTTTCTTTTTTTTTAAATTTATCAAGGCAAGCCACTTTCTACCAGAGCCGATGTCAGCGGCACTATTTCTGGTTTCTTTGGACATGCCTATTTCTCTGGAGTATCCAAATATCCATGATGCTGTGGTGGCCTATTTGGAACAGCAGAATTCTGACAACTACAGCGTTTATAAACGAACTGCAGAGGCCGCTTACTCCATCGAATGTGCCTGTAACTTCCTGTCTGATGTTGGGAAGGAGGTAAAAAGTTTTGTTAATATCTCTTAAATTTATTTGATTAAATAAAGAATCTAACCTACATTTTTCAAATTGATGGACAGATAACTGTTGAATTGTTAGAGGTGGGATTCATTATTACTGAGCAGGTCAATTCTCAGATGCAAGTGAGGATAGGGTTTGTGATAAGTAAAAATGAAGACTTTGGATTACCGAGTGGTGTGCATTCGTGAGGCCAGTGGTATGAAAAAAAAGCAGTGATTCTTATCAGTATCTTAATATTTAACAGTGAGTTTTCCTCTTCGAAATGGTTTACTGGGTCTGAACAGAGTGGCAAATGACAAAGCAGAATTTAAGAGCCATCGCTTGCTTGTAGGCCCACCTTGCCTTGGGTATTTTACCGACCCTTATTTGCTCACACTGAGAGCCTGATTTCTTAAATTAGTTAAATGAACGAGATGGTAAGGCAGTAAGATGACTTTAGGTGCAGTGTCTTAGCAATAATTGTGTATTGTTCTTTATTCCTGTTAGAGATACTATTAGGTTATTATTTAGTATGTTATTAATGAAAGGGTTCATGAGTCTTAAAATAGAGGCATTGACTACAATAGTTGTTTACTGTCTGAAAATCCCAAAATGAGTCCTAAATCTCTTGAAAAATTAGGGGCAAAAATTCTTACTCCTCTTGGCCTCTATAATGGAGTCTGTTCGAACCTTGTATTCTAATTTTCCTTTATTTACTCACTGGTTTTTTTTTTTCCCGTTTCCTCCCCGCCCCCTCCCATCTTGATGCTACTGTCTTCTTATTTTCTTCGTGATAGAAATTTGAATCGTCTTTAGGCTGGGTTATTGCTGTGGCATTCCCCAGCATCAGTTAACTGATGATCCTCATGTTCTCAGACATGTCGGGATGTCAGAGGGGACGTGGGCCATGGACCCCTGAGCCCTGCCCTGAGCTGCAGCCAGGAGGGAGATAGGGCTGCACACACGTCACCAGAGGGGCAGGCCACTCAGTTGTACTTTTAAACCTGCTTATAGGTAAACAATAGACAGGCTCATGTGCCACTGAGCTAGGGATTTTTCCCACATTTTTCTTCCTTTTTAGCTTGTTTGTTGAGAAAGGACTTAAGCATGTGAACAATCTCAGGGTCTCTGAATGATCTAATTTCTTAAGCCTACTTAGTTAGCTGTAGAGAATTTTGTTGTGCATGAACCTGACATTTACCATTTCGTTTTTCTTTTTTAGGGAGAGAAGAATTTCTTAGAATTAATGGAGCTGGCAGACCAAGCCTTGCGTAGCTTTGCATATCATCAGCATTTCCCCCTAGTGAAGGAGATCATCTGCGTTTGTTCAAAGATGTAATCTTTTCTTCCTTAATGTGATTACATGCTCTCGATGCATGTGGCTGGGGATCCGTCTGTCCAGGGAGCCGACTTAAGCTATTTGTGAATTTTCGACTGAGTTGGTTGTGGGTGACTAACCCCCGCATTGTTCAGGGGTCAACAGTGTGTGTGTGT